CAGAGGGAGGGAGAGAGATAGGCAAATAGACAGGCAAATAGATAGGCAAATAGGTAAGGTAAATAGGATAGATAGATAGATAGATAGATAGATAGATAGATAGATAGATAGATAGATAGATAGATAGATAGATAGATAGATAGATAGATAGATAGATAGATAGGCGGGCGGGCGGACGGACGGACGGACGGACGGATGGATGGATAGGCAGATAGATAGGCATAAATAGGCAGATAGATAGGCATAGATAGGCAGATAGGCAGATAGGCAGATAGATAGATAGATAGATAGATAGATAGATAGATAGATAGATAGATAGATAGATAGATAGACAGACAGACAGACAGACAAAGGCACATAGGCAGATGGATGGATGGACAGAGAGACAGACAGACAGAGAGACAGACCGATAGGCATATAGACAGACAGGCAGGCAGATACACAGACAGACAGACTAGACAGACTAGATAGATAGATAGATGGATGGATGGATGGATAGATAGATAGACAGACAGACAGACAGTAAAGGCAGATAGGCAGATAGATAGGCATAAATAGATAGATAGATAGATAGATAGATAGATAGGCAGGCAGGCAGGCAGGCAGATAGATAGACAGACAGACAGACAGACAGAGGCAGATGGACGGACGGACAGACAGACAGACCGATAAACAGGCAGGCAAGCAGACAGGCAGGCAGGCAGATAGATAGCAATAGCATCTAGACTTATAAACTGCCCCACAGTAGTTTACAACTCTCTCTAAGCAGTTTTACAGAGTCAGCCTATTGCCTCCAAGAATCTGGATCCTCATTTTACCAACCTCAGAAGGATGAAAGGCTGAGTCAACCTTGAATCCGTCAGCATTGAACTCCAGGCTGTGGGCAGAGTTTGCCTGCAATACTGCACTTTGAAAATTGTGCCACCAGGGTTTATGTACCTTTGCTTGGAAGGTCGCAGGATGGTACACTGAGGAGCTACGGGAATACAAAAGTGGAGAAGTCACCAAGTGCCTTGGCTTTTGGCCACGCAAGCTGGACCTGTTGAAAAAGCTACTTCAGGAACATTTTGGTGTCACACCTTCAGTGCTGCAGTGCTCCAGATGTCCATGAGATGGCAACAAATGCTTAGGGTTTTCTGTATCTCTTTGCAGAGATTGCTGTTCTGCAGCCCGTATATGATTATGTACTCCTGAGGATAGAAATTTAACAAAGGAGAGAGAGCCAAGATCCAGAATCATTGGAGGTTTTGAAAAAAGGACTGGGCAATCATTTGTCTGGAATGGTATAGTGCAGGGGTAGGCCAGCTGGCTCAGGGATTCTGGGAGTTGAAGTCCACGAGTCATAAAAGAGCCAAGGTTGCCTACCCCTGGTATAGTGTTTCCTGCTTGAGTGAGGGGTGTGGTGGGGGTGGGGGTTGGACTGGAAGACCTCCAAGGTCCCTTCCAATTCTTTATATTGTATTCCTATGTTTTCCAACTCTGCAGTAAAACAGTCATAATTTTTTGTACGTATTCTGTTGGGTTAGCACAAGACATTTTGATTGTGTTTGCACAATAAACTTAAAAATTGGAAAATGCTAAGGACAGACCCAGCAGTATCTGGAACTAATGAGAAGCTTGGCTGAAGATTTAGGGTGCTGACCTAGCCTAAAAGGAGCTACCATCCTGAACGTAGTTTATCATCTAATGGATCGTCAATCAATCAATCAGAATAGAACTGAAGGGACCTTGGAGGTCTTCTAGTCCAATTCCCTGTTCAAGCAGGAGACCCTATACAATTTGAGACAAATGGCAGTCCAATCTCTTCTTAAAAGCTTCCAGTGTTGGAGCATTCACCACTTCTGGAGGCAGGTTGTTCCACTGGTTAATTGTTCTCACCGTCAGGAAATTTCTCCTTAGTTCCAGGTTGCTTCTCTCCCTGATCAGTTTCCATCCATTGTTTTTTTTGTCTTGCCTTTTGGTGCTTTGGAAAATAAGTTGACCCTCTCTTCTTTGTGGCAGCCCCTCAAATACAGGGACACTGCTGTCATGTCACCCCTAGTTGTTCTTTTCTCTAGACAGGCCATGCCCAGTTCCTAAAATTGTTCTTCATATGTCTTAGTCTCCAGGACTTTAATCATCTTAGTTGCTCTTCTCTACACTTTTTCCAAAGTCTCAACATCTTTTTTGTGATATGGTGTCCAACATTGGCTGCAGTATTCCAAGTGTGGTCTTACTATGGTTTTATTAAGCGGTACTAATACTTCGTGTCATCTTGGTTCTATGCCTCTGTTTATACAACCCAGGATTGTATTAGCTCTTTTGGCTGCTGCTGCACACGGCTGGCTCATAGTCAAGTGATCTTCCACTAAACTTCGACTTCAGTGAACGCACATCTCACTTAACAAATGTTTCACCTAACAACAGAAATTTTGGACTCAGTTAAGGTCGTAATTCGAGGACCACTTGTACCAGTTTCGCTCTCTTTCACAAATAACTGCCGGCATTTACTGGACAATGTTATAAAAGATTCAAAGCCATTTGTGGACTTTTTTGGGGAGGGGATGAATTCATGACTTTTATTGTTTTATCAATGTACTAAAATGCAAAGAAAAATAAAAAAATAGGAAACTAAGGAAAGGAAAAAGAGGGGGAAAGAAAATATGAGGTACAAGGGAAGAAAGAAAAAAGTGTTGATTTCTGATTTTTTTTTAGCACAGTACAAGGTAATAATATTACAGCCTCGACTTTTACTTTTATACATTAGTATATAATCAGCCATTTCTATAACAACAAATCTAATTGGCAAAACCAAAGTCAAAGTTAGACTTTTTTTTTCATCACAAGCATAAAATCCAGAAGTGATATCTAAATAAAAAAATATATTTTCCTCTTTGAATAAAGCTATCAGTTTAACCATTTCTGCTTTAATTTCCTTGCTGTGGAAATAATATATATTTCTGTTTGCACTTATAAACTATCACCATTTATATTAACAAAAAAAATCACTATTCTTTCAGATTCTTTAATCTTAAAGGGAAACATACTATTTGTGGACCTTTTACATGTTAAATGCAGTAGCAGATGGTTAATAGAGAGATTTGAAGATTAGTGTAATATTTGGGTATATCTGTTGCTTTTTTTCCCTATTCTTCACATATATATTATGATTAGCTGTTCAGTTGACTTGATTAGTAGATAGAGATTTTCCCATCTGGAATAGTTGTTTACTTAATATAGTAATTTTTATTAATTAAGGATGGGACAGCTTATAACTATTTGTCACCCCCCCCCGCCCCGTTTTTGTACAGTTTTTTCTTCTTTTTTGTTAGTGTTAGATGTATATTTTACTGTTGTTTTGTATTTAATTCTTGTTGATAAAACAAAACACACCTAGTCCACAACTTACAACCACAACTGAGCCCAAACTTTCTGTGGCTATGTGAGACATTTAAGTGAGCTTTGCCCCATTTTGTGACTTTTCTTGCCAGTTAAGTGAATCACTGCAGTTGTTAATTTAGTAACACGGTTGTTAAGTGAATCTGGTCTCCCCATCGACTTTGCTTTCCAGAGGTTTGCGAAAGTTGATCACATGATCCTGGGACACTGCGACCGTCATAAATATGAGTCAGGCTGCCAAGCCTCCGAATTTTGATCATGTAATCATCGGGATGCTGCTATGTTCGTAAGTGTGAAAACCAGTCATGTCACTTTTTTCAGCGCCATTAGAACGGTTCACTAAGTGAACTGTTGTAAGTTGAGGCGTACCTGTGTGTGTGTGTGTGTGTGTGTGTGTGTAGGTCTTTGGTTATTCGGGTTTTCTCCTGCGTAAAATTGGAAGTGTCTTGGCGACGTTTTGACGAAGTCTCATTCGTCATCTTCAGGCTGGTGTTTTCGGCTTTGTGCTTCTAGGAGCATGAAGCCGAAAACACCAGCCTGAAGATGACGAATGGGACTTCGTCAAAACGTCGCCAAGACACTTCCAATTTTACGCGGGAGAAAACCCGAATAACCAAAGACCTATACACACACACACACACACACACACACACACACATATTAAAAAAGGAAAAACTGCTGGTATGTCCTTCAGCTCTGCATGTGATCACCTTTTGCAACTTTCTGACTACGTCAATGGGGAAGCCAAATTCACTTAACAACCATGTTACTAATTTAACAATTGCCTTGATTCACTTAACAACAGTGGCAAGAAGGGTCGTGAAATGGGGCAAAACTCACTTAGCAAATGCCTCACTTTGCAACAGAAGCGTTGGGCTCAATGGCGGTCATAAGTCGAGGTCCACCTGCCAAGGCTTCCCCCTTGTCAAAGTGCACCGCAACGGAGTCAGGGACGCAGCGCTGCCAGGACATTTGCTGCAGGCTCAGGAGGGCTGAGAAAGCAGGCCGGGGGTTGACTAAACCAAAATTCAGATTTTAGCTTCTGCAGAGCTTAGCATACACGGCACAGCCTGCATTGCATGGTTTAATCTACGCATCATGGTTAAACTATGGTCTCCTACAGGAATGTAACCGGCCCACGCATGATGCTAGGGAGCACCGAGGCTTCCTCAGGGTCCGGCTGACCCGCTGCATCAACCCACCGTCGCAAACCGGGATTTATTGCGGCCACAACGGTGAAACTGAGCCACGCCCGGCGAACTCTGCATCAGGAACGCGGAGGAGAAACTGCGCGTGCGCGGAAGCACAGCCAGGCTGATATGCGCGCGCACACCTTCCCCCCTCCCGTCTCCTCGCCCGCGCTTGCGCGGAAGGGTTCTTCCCTCGCCCCCCCCTCCGCTTCCCAACCTGTCTTCCTCCTTTCCCTTTTGCCAGCGTAACCAACCTTGATGACCTCGTCTCGCCGCCTCCTCCTTTATGACATTGATGGGCGCGTCAGCCGCCCAATGGGCGTGCGGCAAGCGCCGAAGGCCTCGCTCGGCAGCGGCGTCGGCGGAGGAAAAGAGGCGGGCTCTGCCGGGGTGGGGTTGTCGTTTTCTGTCCCCTCCCCCTAGCATGTTCGGGTGAGGCCTTTTGGGGCGCTCGGGGCGGCGTCTCGGGCTCAGTGTGGGCGGCGGCGGCGGCCGGGGATGCGGCGGCGGCAGCGGCTCTTCTTGATGGCGTCGCCGCAGCTGCCGGGCGCGGCCGGACGGAGGTAGCCGGAGCCGCGCCGAGGCGGCCCTGGCAGGCAGGCGGGCGGGCGAGCGAGCGATGGAGGATCAGGCGGCGCAGGAGGAAGGCGAGGCCGAGATCCAGGAGCTGCACGGGCCCGAGCACTGGTTCAGCCAGTGGGAGCGGCAGTGCCTGGCCGAGGCCGAGCAGGACGACGGCAGCGGCCTGGGCGGCGGCGGGGGCGGCCCGCTGCCGCCCGAACTTCAGGACGACGACGAGGCGGCCGCCGCCGCCACCCCGCAGCCGGAGCCCAAGCAGCAGAAGCTCTGGCACCTCTTCCAGAACTCGGCCACCGCCGTGGCGCAGCTCTACACGGGTGAGCGGAGGTGCCCGCACGTGTGGATGCCCAGACACGTGTCCGCGCCGGGCGCGACACCCCCGCGGGAGGGGCTGTCTTCACCCCCCCACACACACCAATCTTGGGAGTGGTCGTCCGAGGCCGGGCCCGGTGCCCCCGCCAGGCGCTCGCGCAAGATGGCGGGAGGCCCCATCTTCGCCGCCGCCGCGGCCGCTTCTCTTTCTTCGCTGCCCGCCGGTGAAGGAAGCGGCTGCCGGAGGGGGCAGAATGGATTCGCCCGCCCCCCCTCCGTCCCTACGGGAGGGTGGGCTCGCCCGGGCCCTTGGCCCCTCCCACCAACAAAATGGCGGGTGGGGGGGGCGAAGACGCCAATCTGACGAGCCGGACGCGGAGTCCCCTTTTAAAGGCTCTTTCTCCCTCTCCCTCCCCCCCCACCCATTGGGGCAAATGGAGGATTCCGCTCTTCCGCCCCCCCCTCCCCCGGCCGACTTGGACGCTTCCAGGCGGCTTCCGTCCCGCTTGGCCCCTTCCCTCCCCCCCGCCCTCCCATTTCCTGCGCTTCCGTCCCGGCGGCGGCGGGTGAACAAAATGGCGAAGCCCAACATGGCCGGTCCTTTTGAGGGGGGGGGGGCGGGGGACGGGCGGTCACGGCGAGGCTCACTTCTCCCCTTTGCTCTCTCTCTCTCCCCCCCCCCCGCAGACCGCGTGTGCCAGCAGCCCGGCCTCTCCCTCTGGGTGCCCTTCCAGAACGCGGCCACCGCCGTCACCAACCTCTACAAAGGTGAGCGGGGCCGGGGGGGAGCCCGGGGTGGGTGGGTGGGTTGGGAGGTCACGGCCTGGGCGGGGCTGGGGGCTCCCCTGAAGGCCTCGGGGGTCTCCGCAGGGGCCACCCCGGGGTCTTGCAGGGCGGGCTGGAGGGAGGGAGGGCGAGCGAGGGGCTCTTCCCGGCTTCCGCTCCTGGTAGGCTCGGTTGAGGCCCTGGGGCTGCCTGGTGGAGCAGGGGGGAGGGAGAAAAGGGGGGGGGGAGGGAGCCCCCAGGGAAGCCCAGCTGACTCTGCTTCAGGGGGATTCTGGGAGCCCCAGGAAACATCTGGAAGGGGCTTCTAGGGAAGCTGCCCTCTGGCCCTTGCCTGGAGGGGTCCAGTGGCTCTTGAAGGTGACCCTTGCGTGTCTCCTTGGCAGCCTCCCCTGCCTGAATGTTTGGGGGCCCAGCCAGATGTTCTCCACCTGCCGAGAGAGGAGAGAAGGGTTAGGGCGGTTTTGATGCTTGGGACCTTCCTGGGCTCCAGACTGGTCGCTCTTGGTGCCAGCCGACTTCAACCTGCGTGTGGCTTCAGTCACCCAAGGCCACTTCTGGCACTTAAAGAATTAAGATCACTTAAAGCAGTGGTTCTCCACCTGTGGGTCGGGACCCCATTTGGGGTCGAACGACCATTTCACGGGGGTCGCCAAACAAGGCTGTCCGCCATTTTCTTCCCCCTTTGGCCACGCCCCTGGCACCCGGTGATGTATAAGTGGTTGGGGGGGTCACCACAACATGGGGAACTGTATTATGGGGTCGTGGCATTAGAAAGGTTGAGAACCACTGTCTTAAATGGTTCTCAGTAATCTTTTATGAGCCCCGTCTCTGGAAATTGAGAGTTGGCAGAAAATTGTGGAACTTTTATTCAGAGCGCCTTTTCTGCCAGTCAAGCAGATTCAGAAGAGAGATACTGAGCTAGCCACCTTTCTCATCCTGTCAGGAGAGTATTACAGGTAGCAGAGTTGGAAGGGACATCCAGTCACCAGTGGTATAGGAAGCCCTATATACCATTGGACTTGCATAGTGGTCCTCATCTATCCCTTTTTTTAAAAAAAAAAAAATCTGGCACAGCAGTTAGAGTGCAGTACTACAGGCCACTTTAGCTGGCTGTTCAGCAGGTCAGCGGTTCAAATCTCACCGGCTCAAGGTTGACTCAGCCTTCCATCCTTCCGGGGTAGGTAAAATGAGGACCCAGATTGTTGGGGGCAATGTAAATAGATATATATATATATACATTGCTTACTGGTGTACACCACTTAGAGAGTGCTTGCACTTAAAGCAGTATATAAGTCTCATAAATAAATAAATAAATTTTAGGGGGTGTTGGATACCTTTGGGGCAAGTGCTTATGTATTTGGGAGGGATTTGTGCTTTCTGGATATACATGTGTTTGTGGGCTTTCTTGTGGAGTGTGTCCTGAGGACAAAAAAAGGGTTCCATTAGCTGCTGTCTGCCCTTAAGCTACCTGGATTTGCAAGAGGTTTGCACAGGATGTAGGAATAATATAGGATCCTAATTTCAGGAATCACAAAGTGGCTTAGAATGAACTACCTTTGTAAGGCAGGGACTTCTATTTTGTGTGGGGTTCTGATATTCAAGTGACATTTAAGTTGAACAGATTCTACTCATGTGCATAGCATGCAATCTTAACCACATCTGTGGTTCATTGTCCTAAGTCATGTATTGTTGTGTACTACAAAATAGTTGATCAGTACCTTAATGGTACTTAATTCTAAGCTTGACATAATCTAGCTTCTCATGGGAAAAATGTAGTTTTTCAGGGAATAAAATGGTTGTCTTCATTGTTTGGCTATGCATGGTTTGATATTAGAGATACCTTTTTATATTGACTTTGTACTATTTATACTGACTTTTAGATAAGGTTAGATTTTTCAGAATAGAGCTGGAAGGGGCCTTGGAGGTCTTCTAGTCCAATCCCCTGCTCAAGCAGGAGACCCTATACCAGTGGCTCTCAACCTGTGGGTCGGGACCCCATTTGGGGTCGAACGACCATTTCACGGGGGTTGCCAAACAACGCAGTCTGCCATTTTTTCCCCCTTTTCCTTAGCTGTGCTACTCCCTTTTATTCTATTGGCTTTTGAAAGCCAATATAATTAGACTCTCTTGAATAGAGTCTAATTCTATTGGCTTTCAAAAGCCAATAGGAATTGTCCAGGCTGTCTCTGCCCTGCTGAGCCCGCCAAAAGTCCCATTCTGCAAACGGTGCTGCACCAGTTGAGTAGTCCTCAACTTACGACTGGTTGGGGGTCGCGGCATTAAAAAGGTTGAAAACCACTGCCCTATACCGTTTCAGACAAGTGGCTGTCCAGTTGTCCAATTGTCCGTTTGCAATGCATCCCTTCTCTATAAACCAACATCCTCTCTCCTCCAGTGGTAATGAGCCTACTTCATGTCTTGTTATTTCTAATCTTAGAGAAAGAGTGGTAGAAATTTTTAATTCTGGAGTAGAGAGAAAGAGAAAAATTTTGTTGGATTTAAATGTTATGTTAACTTTCAATCATTTTTTTTCCTGTCCTTTAACTATGAAAATATTTTTGATGGTCTAGGAAAAGACTGTCAGCTCTATAAATGTTCTAGCTCTATACTAATTCATAAATCTCTAGAAAAGGACTATTCTTAAGTGGTTCACACTTTGAAAAACTCCACGAGGGGCTCAGAAATTCCTTTCAGCTCATGGAGGAAAAGAGCAGACTCAAGAATATGTTACTGGCTTGACCTTAGATATCCTAAATTGCTTCCAGTTACTCATAATAACTACACCAGCACTAACTGCCAAATGCTAGCTCAGCTAAAGCCTGAGTTGCCTTGATAACAAGTTCGGTGACCCAATAAATAAAGGTAACAATATTTTTGTTGGACTTCGCCATTCCTGTATCATGTAAATAACTTACTTTAGAGCAATTGATGTAATTAGATGATGCCATCTGAAGTGGCCAAATGGAATGTAGTGCTGAAAACAGCCACCTTTTAGTCATCGAGGGAGGTATTTGCCAGCTCAGCCAATAGTATTAGTCAGCTCTCTTTCTCTAATTGGCACCAGCTGCCATTTTGATGGCTTATCGCTTGGCAGTTGCTGGGTCAAAGCCAGATGGGTTGTGTGCACTCTATGCATGTGCCTCTTGCTAGAAATCCAAGCAGTGCCTGGAATTAGCTGGGAAAGAATATACTGGTAATCGAGTCTTGCATGGAGCACAAGGGATGCTGTCTCCTAACGCTGCATTTTATAATCTTGTGAAAGTGAGGAGGAGAATCAGAGTCTTCCAACCTTTCCTATATTTATAATACATCTTAGAACTGCAGGAATGACATGTCCAAAATTAGAAAATTCCACTGTGCAAGACATTGGGGCATAAATTGCTCCATAGCTAGTACAGTCCTGATATCAAAGTGTACAGATTAGTTTTTTCTTCTCCTGGTCTTAGAATCTAGTGATGTGAGAAGTCTCTCTCTCTCTCTCTCTCTCTCTCTCTCTCTCTCTCTCTCTCTCTCTCTCTCTCTCTCTCTCTCTCTGTGTGTGTGTGTGTGTGAGAGAGAGAGAGAGAGAGAGAGAGAGAGAGAGAGAGAGAGAAAGGAAAGAAAGTCAGGGCAGGTAAAAAGGACTTACTCGATGGATTCATACATCAGACTAAGTGGTAATTGGTTTGTTTGGAGATTGGCATATTATATGAAATGAGTCATTTTAGTCTAATTTAAGAACAGTGGTTGTATAGTCTATGACTTAATATGACATGTGAACCTAGCTGCTGCAACAAGGGGTATGAGAGATTGCACATGCTCCCTGTTGTCATCCAACTGGCCCTTGTGGGACCAGAATATTGCTCTTGCAGTGGACTTTTAGTCCTACTTGACCGTGTTGTTCAGGTGTTTATGTGGCAGCACTATGCTTAGCAAAGAAGGAATAGGCTTCTTTGCTTAAAGTTGTGTGACTTTTGTAAGTGTAAAAAAAAGCTTGTGTGAAAGTACAGAGGATGAACTCTACAATCATCTCAGTGGAAGGATTTAAAAGCTTCCACTCCAAGCTCTCCCACCTTTAAAAAGAGTTGAACTTTTCATATACTTTGAGAAGAATTTATGGAGCAATGTAAATATTCCAAAGAGCTTACATGGATGAGATTGACTTCCTCTCCAAGAATGAACATCAAAGCAAATACGTTCTTTTCTAAATGTCTACCTTGTTTTTGGTTTCTGTATACTTGAATGTGTATGTATATATAATTTTAACTTAATTTTGAGAATCCACATGCCATATTGTGAATGTCCTGATACTGGTAGATCCCCTGTTTCTGTGAACTGGTATGGATGATCAAATATTGATTGTTTGCAGTGATGAAATTATTATGGCACTCTCTTAAGTTTCAATCCCACCTTGTATCTGGGAAAGATAGATGCAACCATATAGTGCTCCCTCCTCCTGTTTTATCCCCTAATAATGGCTAGTTTAGCTGAAAAGATGGCTGGTCGAAGGTCTTGGATAGCAGAACTTGGGTTTTCCCAATCCTTGTTTAATTCAAACTACATTATTGGCTCCTTCCTATAACCTGCCTAAAACTGAGCAGCCAAAGTCATAGGTGTTAAAGTTTGAGGTACTGTTCTTAGTTTTTGTTGGATAAGCTGTGAGGTGGATCTGCTTGCAAGGTGGATCTGTCTTTAGTGGTTTTGTCACAGTACTGTTGGATCTGGATTTACTGTTAACTCATTAAGATGGTTTATGTTCCAGTGGAACTTCAAACAGCATTTGTGGCAGAAAGTCTGCTTTAACTCTGTTAGAATTGATGTCCTTGAGTAAAGAAAAATCACCATTGTAAAGATGAATTAAGAGTCAGAACAATATCAAATTAACTGCCGGTAGGTTTGTTTCATGGCAGGCTCATGTTTTACACCAGATGATTGCGCTAACTATGGATACACAATATACATTATATAGTAACATAATGAGAGTCATATGAGAATTGTCAGCCTTTATGAATTCTTAATAATCCTGTCCTTGGATAAAAGTATTCAGGAACTGAAGTTTTGGCCTGGAGCTTTTTAAATTAAACAGATTGCTTTCTTGGTCTGACTTAGCTCCCATGAGGATCAGAATGATTCATTGAGGCCTAGGGGAAGCTAGTTGAGTAACACCTATGGAGGAATGTTCCACTGTGGACCATGCTAAGGACATGACTATTACACTCATCACAATAGGAACATGTACAACCAACTATATTAGTTAATAATGTTGTAACTCACTTTGATAAAGCAATGGTGGTTATAATGGTTGTTATAATTTTTGAACTTGGAATGCATTGTAGGGCTTGGCACATTAAGGATCCAAAACTGGCAACATTTTTAGTTGTGCCCAATTTCTATTTGTTGCAAAAGTACGCAAGTTGACCATTTATTACAGATGTTCTATTTATAAGCATAACATTGGCTGAAGGAGTTGTCACATAATTTGTGCATAGGTGGTCAGATATTATCCCAGTATTTTAAAATGATTGAATCATGGCAAGGTTTGGAGTTTGAAGTTTGAAGGTTTGGTCCAATTGCCATGATTTAACCTTTTTAGATACTTTTGGCCTGGATGTTTGAGTCTTCATTTACATAATGTCTCAGTAATGTTTGTTGAAAACAAAGTCAAAGACTTGTTTTCAGTTCAAAGCAACATGTGACAATTTGACTGTCGTAATAGTGTAAGTTTTACTTGAGCTTAATGTTGTGGAATGTGGTATCATATTCTCAAGAATCTATTTTGGAAGCTAGCTCACTCTCCCCATCAGCTGAGGCTGCAGTGTGGAGGACATTCTTAAGCACAAAGTGGATTATACTTTCAAGGTTCTGCAGAAAATTGCTTTGTGCAATCTTTTGTTGAAAAAAACTGATGTCCAGTACAAATATATGATGTGTAAGTATTAATAGCTGTGCATCGGCAGTGGAATAGATTGTTTCTGATGAATAAAGCGGGATAGAAATATTACTTTAGGGAGATTTGTTGGACTTGATAGTCTAATTCAGCAATAGAAATTAGGTGGTTATCCTCACCAGCCTGATGTAGCCAAATACTCTGGAATTAAAGTTCCCGTACTCTTGAGAAATGGCCGCCTCACCTAAAAGTGGATTAATTTATTTATCCTATTTTTCCTCCAGAAGAGGAACAATTCTACTGTCTTCTAAATTCATTGCAGTCTAATTTCTGACTCTGTTTTTGATCACCTTCACTGAAACTGCCCTTGAGTTAACGGCCTGATCTAAAGTCTTTATTCGGTTTTCCTTTCTACCATTTTAAATCCATTTGATTGCACTCCCCAAATGTCATAACTCTTAATCGTGCTGACTTGTTTTCCCTTTCATAATTTCTGGTCAAAGAGCACCGTTCTCTACCTTCCCTCCCTACTTAACAAGGCTCTGCAGTTCCATTGGCCATTCTGGGTAACTTGGCAATTTAACAGTTTCATCCATTCCTAGGCCTGTCAGTATTACTTATCACCGTGGTGGCGAACCTATGGCACGCGTGCCACAGGTGGCACGCAGAGCCCTCTCTGTGGGCACGCGCACCATTGCCCCAGTCCTAGGCCTTCAGCTGGGTTTTATAAAACCATTTCGCTTTAGGCCTCCGCCACTATGTGCAAAAAAAAGAGGTTCAATCAATCAATTTCAACTTCTCGCGGGAAAACAAAATCTCACAAAGTTGGAATTGATTGGTAGAACTTTTTAGTCCCGCTCAGTCTGCTGTTATCACCACAGCCACGCCCACCCAATGGGCCACACCCACTCAATGGGCCATGCCCATCTGGCACCCGACGATACATAAATGGGTTTTGGGTTGCAGTTTGGGCACTCGGTCTCTAAAAGGTTCGCCATTGCTGACCTATCATCTAAATATTCTCTGATTTTGTCTAACTGTTTTATCCCTCCAGCCTCCAAGTATTTTTCTAGTACTTCTGTTTTGGAGCATCAGTATTATCCCAGGCTTAATATCTCTGAGGTTGAGCTTATCCTATTTCTTTCCAAGGGTCCAGCCTCTTAGTTTGCATTTCTTGACCATCAGTAACGTTATCTGCCTGTCAGTCAAATGCTCTTTTTATGTTCTCTTTTCCTTCCTGATCTCCTTCCTTTGGTTGTCAAATTAGAACCTCTTTCTATATAATGCTAATTTTGGTCTGGTGGTTAAGGCAGCAGCTGGAAACCAGGAGACTGCATTTTAGGCATGAAAAACATGGCTGGGTGACTTTGGTCCAGTCTCTCTCTTAGCTCAACCCCACCTCACAAGGGAGGCTATTGTGGGGAAAATAGAGGGAAAGGATTAATTGGCATGTTTGAGTTATTTGTAAAAAATAAGTTGGGACCCCCCCCCAAAAAAATCTAAGTAGTGAGAGTTGTCCAGCACAGGAAATCTAGGCAGATTGAAGCTGGGGGAAGTTGCTCTATTTCTTCATTTATAGGAGTCCCCCTACGGATTTTACTCCGCTAGTCGCTTCCAACTTGGGTGTTCATCTCCGTTTCAAGGCCATTGACCCAAGAAATTTCTGGGGTCAAGTGGCCAGCATGATGTCCCTGTGGTATCTATTTATCTACTTGCATTTGCATGCTTTCGAACTGCTGGTTGGGCAGGAGCTGGAGCGAGGATGGGAGCTCACCCCTTCGTGTGGCGCTCGGGTCTTGAACCTGGGGGGGGTAGCTTTTCAGTTGACAAGCCCAGCGTCTATAACAGTGTTTCTCAACCTTGACAATTTTAAGGCATGTGGACTTCAACTCCCAGAATTCCACAGCCAGCATTGCTGGCTGTGGAATTCTGGGAGTTGAAGTCCACATGCCTTAAAATTGTCAAGGTTGAGAAACACTGGTCTATAACCACTGAGCCACCATACTGCCCATGTATTTATTTATATCCCACCTTTATTATTTTTTAATAAATAACTCAAGGTGGCAAATACACACAATGCTCCTTCCCACACAGTACTCCTCCCACCTAACCTCCTGAGGTGAGTTGGTCTGTGAGAGAGACAGTTACGTCCTGCTTTCCCAGAAATTTCAACGCGGTCAATATTAATTCTGTTACATGGCATAAAGCAAAAAATAAATGCAAAAGATTAGTGTGTTTGCAGAAAAACAAATAGGCATGTGGCTAAAGTAGGAAAAATACAGTAAATTCAGCAAACCATTTGGGGGGATTGTAATTTAGCAGGATTGAAAGTGGATATTCTGAGTTTTTGCCAAAATAAAATCTAGAATGGTGTTACAGGGCATTGGGCAAGGTTTGCCCACATAGGTTGTGTGCCTCTCTCCAGTACAGTTAGTCCTTGACTTATGGCCACAATGGAGCCCAAAAAGTCAGGGACCTCTGTGTAGTACTGCAGGCCACTTTAGCTGACTGTGTTTAGCAGGTCAGCGGTTCAAATCTCACCGGCTCAAGGTTGACTCAGCCTTCCATCCTTCTGAGGTAGGTAAAATGAGGACCCAGATTGTTGGGGGCAATGTCAATATATATGTATACATTGCTTACTTGTGTACACCGCTTAGAGAGTGCTTGCACTTAAAAGCGGTATATAAGTCTCATAAATAAATAAATAAAATGAAGGGTTACTAAAGATAACATACCTCTTTTGACCTTGATCGAATAAAGGTAACCCTTGATCTATGACCACAGTTGAGCCCATATTTTCTGTTGTTAAGCAAGACAGTTGTTTAGTGAGTTGTTCCCCATTTTACAACCTAAATGTAAGAATTTGACCTAAGTCAGCGGTTCTCAACCTATGGGTCGCGACCCCATTTGGGGTCGATCGCCCATTTTTCGGGGGTCGCCAAAGGCGGCGATCCGCCTTTTTTCGCGGCGCCGTGCACGTGCGCCGTGCATGCGCGCCATGCATGGGGGTAGCGCCATGCACACGCGCCGCGTATGGGCCCAGCGCATGCGCATCGTGCATGGGCGTCGTGCATGCGCATCGTGCATGGGGCGCAGCCGCGCATGCGCAGAGCGTTTGTGTGACGGGGGTCGCCGTCACACAAACGTTGAGAAGCACTGACCTAAGTGGACACACAAAACTTTCAGTCAGTGCTGGATGTCCTGTCATTTTTTCCCCCAAGACTTAAAACATGTTGCAAAAGTGGGATAGAGTAGAAGAATAGAATAAAAACTTTACTGTCACTTGAAATGTACACTAATCAGCATACATTAAAATGACATTTTGTTTCATTCAGCTCTCAAAAACACACCATTTTGCACATACTCACATATACACACGCACATATGGTGCAAAAGTCACTTAGCCAATGTCTCCCTTAACAACAAAAATTGGGGGCTCAATTGTCATAAATCGAGGACCACTTGTAGTCATAACATCTGGTATCTGATATTAGCAGATGGCTCCGAATTGAGTCTAAAGTTTAGATAGGGCTGGCAGATGCATTTATTGTGTTTTTATTTATGATTGTTGAAGTGACTAATCAGCTGGCTGGGTAGAATTTGTGTGCTCCCCCCCAGTGGTCAAGATAATTGCAATTCATAAATCAGTTTTTAATACTGGGTTTATCTTCCATTAATTCACCCTGTCCACAATGCCAGTTGCCTTTGGCTTTGCTTCCAGAAGGCCGGTTGTATCTGAACTTGCTGCTGTCTGCGGTTGGGCCAACTCCTAACACGTATTTCTTTTCTTCCAGAAAGTGTGGATGCTCATCAACGGAGCTTTGATGTAGGAATCCATATTGGCTATCAGCGCCGTAATAAGGACGTCTTGGCTTGGGTTAAAAAGCGCAGAAGAACTATTCGCAGAGAAGACTTAATCAGTTTCCTGTGTGGCAAAGCGCCTCCTCCACGAAATTCTAGACCTCCCCCAAGACTGACTGTAGTATCCCCTAACCGGGCGACATCCACGGAAACTAGTTCTTCGGTCGAGACGGACTTGCAGCCCTTCCGGGAAGCCATAGCTCTTCATGGTAATGGTGGTTCTCCCTCTATTTAAAAATATATATATATATTTAAAAGAAGCACATGCCTCTCTTAGGAACCATTTCATAGCTCATGTTTTTTTATGGCCAGTGAGAATGAACAGTAAAACATCAAACATGGTTCTCGGTATGTTAGTGACTGAGGTGGGGCTCATGGATTCTCCTTTCCAGACCTGCCTGGGAACTCCTTGCAGATGTGCACTTCTTGCAGGGATGACTCAGGGTTGTTCCTTCCTCTTGTGACCTCAAATGCTCTGAAAAACCAGATGTTTCTTACCAGCATAATAGGCTAGGGCGAATGAAACGTGGTTAAGTCAGAACGAAAAGCAGTTTATCCTGAGTGTTTTGGTGGAGAAAGCTGGATGGTGGAGAGAGCCTTGAAGGGACTTTTCAGATGCTGCTATGGAAACGAGGGCAAACACATTGCTTAAGACCTGGGAAAGGCCATCTTATTAGGAATCTCAGTCTGGCGTCTCCCAGATTCAGAGGGAGAGAGACTTGCAGTAGTTTGCTAACCTAGTCCTAGCCTAACATGCAGCTAAAGACTTTTTGGGGAGCTGCTTTCTTGAGCTGGTCTACCTTGTTAGGACTGAACCTTCCGTACCTTGAAAAGAGGGCTTATTAAAGTTTGGTGGAACAGCACAGCCTCTGTGGCTCTTTAGGTTGAGTTTCAGTCTTCTTTTACCAAAGAGGGAGGGGTTTTTTTGGGGGGGGGGGAGAGAAATAGCTGTAGTTTGATAAGAGGCTGATCTTGCTGTATGTAGCATGGAAGCAGCAGGCATGTTTGTTTGGTAATGTGATCTGTGAGTCTTCATGGCTTACATGACTGTAGACCAGTGGTTCTCAACCTGTGGGTCGGGACCCCATTTGGGATCGAACGACCATTTCACGGGGGTCGCCAAACAAGGCTGTCCGCCATTTTTTTTCCCCTTTGGTCACACCCCTGGCACCCAGTGATGTATAAGTAGTTGGGGGTCACCACAACATGGGGAACTGTATTATGGGGTCGCGGCATTAGAAAGGTTGAGAACCACTGCTGTAGACTCTGCTCCAGGTTGGCCATTAGTTATTTGGTTGCTTCAGAAAACCCTTCAGGTAGAAGAAAAATATATATTTTTTTCTGGCTGAGGGGGTACTCCCGTTTCATTCTTCTAAAGCAGTGGTTCTCAACCTTGCCGCGACCCCCCAACCGGTCGTAAGTCGAGGACTACTCAACCGGTCGTAAGTCGAGGACTACTCAACTGGTGCAGCACCGTTTGCAGAATGGGACTTTTGGTGGGCTCAGCAGGGCAGAGACAGCCTGGACAATTCCTATTGGCTTTTGAAAGCCAATAGAATTAGACTCTATTCAAGAGAGTCTATTCTATTGGCTTTCAGACGCCAATAGAATAAAAGGGAGTAGCACAGCTAAGGAAAAGGAGGAAAAAATGGCGGACTGCGTTGTTTGGCGACCCCATGAAATGGTCGTTCGACCCCAAATGGGGTCCCGACCCACAGGTTGAGAACCACTGTTCTAAAGCAGGGGTGGGAAACCATGGCCCCTTTATGACTTTATGAACCACCTGTGCTGGCTTAGGAATTCTGGGAGTTGAAGTCTACAAGTCAAAAGGGGGCGTAGTTCCCCACTTCTGTTCTGAAGAAACAAGATGTTCAATTGGATATTTCCCTTTCGAAACACACCATTTGCTACCCAGATTGAGAATACAGCCTGATGCAGTTGAAAGAGTGGATGCATAATTTGTGGATATTTGTATTATTGTTTAATCAATGAGGGAAGCCAGATTCTCTTAACAACTGAGTGATTCACTTAATTTCTAAAGTGGTTTGCTTAACAACAGGGGCAATAAAAAGTAAAATTGGGCTTGACTCATAGCCTTGCTTAGCAGTGGGGATTCTGGTCTCAGTTGTCATTGTAAGACTGCCTCTATACTGAATTTAAATATCATGCTTGGAAATTAATGCAGAATTGATGGATAATACAAAATACAGAATTTTAGGGGAAAAAAAATATTTGTATAGTGCAGCTTTTGTTGCACTGTTGATATTTTGGGACTGTAAATTTCAGAATTCTTGACCATGGCTATGCTGAAGGCTGCTGAAGAAGCACGCCAGGTAGCATTTTCTGACACAGATCTCTGGAAGTGACATGTAGAAGCCTTTTTAACACTGCTCCTGCCATTTTGCATGCAAACCTGTGGTAGAGATTTCATTTGTATCTTGATGAGTTGCTGGTTTCGAATCCTGCTAACGATGCTGCAGCCAGAGTAATTTAAATCGCAATTGGATACCTTTTTAATTGGTTTAAATCTGTGGGTAAGCATGTAACTCATATTGGGATTAGAAAACTGTCTCATGTGGAAAAACCCTGATTGTTTTCCTCTTGTCAGCTCGGTGGACAAATCTGTTCCAAGTGCCAAGATGGCATTTTGCCCCCAATGGCTGGAATATTGCTTTGCTGTTGGAAGTACTCAAAATGGCTGAGGATATCCCGGTTCTCTTCAGGTTTCTGCTCCCTCCTTGCCAGGGAAGCTGGCAGAAAAGAGAGGTCTGATTTGTACTTCAGCTTCACAACGCATATGCTTGAGTTTCCACATCCATCCTTGTCAAAGTGCCAAAGCTTGGCTCCAATTCTTGGGACTCGCTGTGAGGCAGGATAGGTGGTGATTTTGCTAGGCAGGTGACTGGTTGGGGTGACCCAGAGCAGGTTGGTATTGTTAGTTTTCAAGTTTTACAAGTTTGCTTGCCTGTCATCGGGCGAGGAGTTAAGGTAACAATATGTTTACAGCGTTGACTTGGATGCTCCTGTGTGGCGGGATTTTCAACGGATGAATAGAGGGTCAGTGCATGCCAGTGGCCAACAGCTATATCTGTATTGCTCTAGTACAGTGGTTCTCAACCTGTGGGTCGGGACCCCATTTGGGGTCGAACGACCATTTCACGGGGGTCGCCAAACAACGCAGTCCGCCATTTTTTCCCCTTTTCCTTAGCTGTGCTACTCCCTTTTATTCTATTGGCTTTTGAAAGCCAATAGAATAGACTCTCTTGAATAGAGTCTAATTCTATTGGCTTTCAAAAGCCAATAGGAATTGTCCAGGCTGTCTCTGCCCTGCTGAGCCCGCCAAAAGTCCCATTCTGCAAACGGTGCTGCACCAGTTGAGTAGTCCTTGACTTACGACCGGTTGAGTAGTCCTCGACTTAGAACCGGTTGGGGGTCGCGGCATTATAAAGGTTGAGAACCCCTGCTCTAGTATTAGTTGTAGCAACTAGTTCACTTTGATTCAGGTGCTGCCCATAAAGACTGCAGTCCAGCCATGACCTCTTAGATTTGATTTCTGGGATGTGAATGTTACGTTCTTAATGCCTTATTTCCTGACAATTGCACAGAACTGGAATTTGAAATTGTTTAGGATGCCCTTTAGCCTCTGTGAAACCTTTAGCCAGAGAGATGCCAGAAGTTTGTCTTTCTAGAAGCTCAGTGTGAGAAGCTTTTTCAAATGGCGTTGACATTTTATAGATTAGGTGTGAATTTCAGCCTGTTTATGAGAATGTAATGAAATTCACCAGTATCTTCATAAATCAAGAAAAAGTTGGTTTCATCTTGAACATAGAAAAAAAGTGTTCAGCCAGTGAAATGAAGGCTTTTGAATTCTCTTCATAAAACTCCAGTTCTTAATCTCTGTGTACGCCACCAGTTTTTTAATACTAAACTGTAGAGTAAAATAGAGTAGAACAGAGGAATGAAGAAGAGAGAATAGAGGAATGAAGAAGAGATGATAGAGGAATAAAGAAGAAAGAATAGAATAGAATATTGCATAAGGGGTCCTCAACCCCCATCCTTGACCAGCAACCGGTCCGCGCAAACAAGCAAAACCCCATCCGCGGGATGCAGGCATCACACAAAACCACACCCCCTCCGTCCACGAAAAAATCTCCCCACGGAACTGGTCCCTGGTGCCCAAAGATTGGGGAGCTCTGTATTACATCACATCACATTGGAAATTTTTCAAGAAGGTGAAGATATTTACTGGCAGATATGTGTTGGGCCTCATTGCTGAAGTTAAATAGTATTCAAGGCCAATAAAAGGAAGAGTTTCCCAAAGGGCTTAACCAACGTTACGGAATTTGCAACCACAACTCTTGGCAGTAGAAGAGTACCGATTACTCGACGTGATCTCCTTGGGCAGAGTCAGTTTGCCTTGGCAGTGCCAGATTCTAGAGCAGTCAAGGGCTGTAGCAAGCCTGTCTGCCTAGGGCAGTGTTTCTCAACCTTGACAATTTTAATTCTACGCTGGCTGTGGAATTCTGGGAGTTGAAGTCCACATGCCTTAAAATTGTCAAGGTTGAGGAACACTGGCCTAGGGCTTTCCAAAGGACCTAGTACAGTGGTTCTCAACCTGTGGGTCGGGACCCCATTTGGGGTCGGGACGACCATTTCACGGGGGTCGCCAAACAACGCAGTCCGCCATTTCCCCCCCCTTTTCCTTAGCTGTGCTTACTCCCTTTTATTCTATTGGCTTTTGAAAGCCAATAGAATAGACTCTCTTGAATAGAGTCTAATTCTATTGGCTTTCCAAAGCCAATAGGAATTGTCCAGGTTGTCTCTGCCCTGCTGAGCTCGCCAAAAGTCCCATTCTGCAAACGGTGCTGCACCAGTTGAGTAGTCCTCAACTTACGACTGGTTGGGGTGGGGTCGCGGCATTAAAAAGGTTGAGAACCACTGACCTAGTAGAAAAACCTGATGGCGCCTGTTGTAGTTTTTAGTCAGTGAGAGATGCTAAAGTCTAAGCAGTCGCCCATCTTAAAGTGATTTCTTTGGATTTAATATAATGTTTTTGTGGGACTGAATTTCTTGGCTTAGAAGAGGAGAGAGCGTGACTTGGTTTCCTGTGGCAAATATGGGGCCAGGCAACTTTCTGGCGGGCAGAAATGGGGCTTTTCATATTTTTGGATGGATAAGAGCCTCAGTAGGTAGGACAACAATGTCCTGA